TTTTACAGTATTAGCATGAATTTTTTTTTATACTATGTATTATGACGGTTATTTTCAGATGACGAAAATTCTAACTCTATGCTTCTAGTAGCAGTTTTATTTATGCATTATTTATCTTTATTTTGAGATATTTATGTTCTCAAATTAAATGAATTTAATGAAAGAAATGACGTATTTGCTTGATAGGTGTAAATGTATTTAACGAAACATTAGTTACCTTTTTATATTCCTAAAATTCTTCACACAGATATTCGGGTTTAGAACTGCATGACACCTGTTTACTTATTAAAACGTTACTTTCCTTTGCTCTAGTTTCTTTATATTAGTGTATAGATATTTATATCTAATATGAAATATAAAGCAGTTTAATAATATCAGCATAAAACACGCGCGCTCTTCAAAGGCTCCTATTGATTCACAGGGGCCTCAAAGCAGCGATCAGGCTCCTCCATTATCGTCAGTTACTTCTATAACTATCTCAAGGGATGGTGTTTGTATCTATAATAAAACCCGATAGGACACACTCTCCCCCTGGAACCTGAGCATCTGTACCCAGTTTGATTCCACTAGATTGTGAACATAAGAGGGTATGAGCATAGTTTCAGAAATGTCGCCCCCCCCCTGGGGGGGGGTCTAGAGTCACAAAGTCCGACGCCACATTCTAGGTTCAGCTATTCTAGAAACGTACTCTCAGAGCATCGTTATGCCTGGGTAACCTTTCAAGGACGTTTTCGCCCCGTTGTTTCTTCCTTGGTAGGGAGTATGCCATATAGTTAAGGTCATCCCCCCACCTCGGGCCACCTCCCAGATCTTCCTGCCAACTTTGTTCTTGCTAATTCGATGACGAGGAACCCACTTTGAGACTAATAATGGCTGGAGACGGCTTGAATGGGTAATGAAGAAAAACTTTAATATAAGTTTAACATAACAGCAAATGTACAACGTTTCGACAAGGTTTTGTCATCATCAGGTGATCATCTGTTAACAGATTAACATAGGATTTAAAATACTTAGAGCTAGCATATCCCTAAGTATTTTAAATCCTATGTTAATCAGTTAACACCTCTCATCAGTGCTGGAGCTAGCATATCTCCAGCACTGTGAGAGTTGTTAACTGATTTACATAGGATTTAAAATAATTAGGGATAAACGTAATTACAGAAGATAACAGAGTGACAAACATTTTCATCCAATGTTCGGTTTGAGTCGACTTCTTATCTCTCCAGTCCACAGTTGTTATGTGTGCAATTGTAAAATTTAAATAAAGACAGCAATGAAACAGTACTTCGGTGACTAATAATGGCTGGAGACGGTTTGAATGGGTAATGAAGAAAAACTTTAATATAAGTTTAACATGACAGCAAATGTACAACGTTTCGACAAGGTTTTGTCATCATAAAGTTTTTCTTCATTACCCATTCAAGCCGTCTCCAGCCATTATTAGTCTCAAAGTGGGTTCTTCGTCATCGAATTTGAGTACTTCGGTGAATTACATTCCTCATAAACTCCAGCATTGAGAAAGACACAAGTAAAAGATAAATCCACGAACCATCACCGCAACGTCTGGAAACATTGCTCAAGAGTAGGAATACCTTACTGCTGTTGTTGCGAGTGAATAAAGTTGACAAACACAGATATTTACTTAATCAGGTGGCTGTAGTGTTGCGAGCAAGAAAATAACGAGATTGTTTAGCCACTTGCTCATCAGGCCCTTTTTTTTTCTCATGTAAATTCTGGCTTTTATGGAAGATAACTTAGAAACTTATCGTCCGAAGATTTGATATCTTATGAAAGTAGTTAAGTTTACCTTATGAAAGTAGTTAAGTTTAACTTATGAAAGTAGTTAAGTTTAACTTATGAAAGTAGTTAAGTTTACCTTATGAAAGTAGTTAAGTTTACCTTATGAAAGTAGTTAAGTTTACCTTATGAAAGTAGTTAAGTTTACCTTATGAAGGTAGTTAAGTTTAACTTATGAAAGTAGTTAAGTTTACCTTATGAAAGTAGTTAAGTTTACCTTATGAAAGTAGTTAAGTTTACCTTATGAAAGTAGTTAAGTTTACCTTATGAAAGTAGTTAAGTTTACCTTATGAAAGTAGTTAAGTTTACCTTATGAAAGTAGTTAAGTTTACCTTATGAAAGTAGTTAAGTTTACCTTATGAAAGTAGTTAAGTTTACCTTATGAAAGTAATTAAATTTACTTACATGATGAGTGCAACACATTATTATATTTTATTTTATACACAAGGCAGTAAATAAAAGGGGACAAACTCACGTGGGCCTGTTTCAATTTCTTCTTCCGTTAACATTTCAATCTATGTGAATTTACTCATCAAATGTCAAGCAAACCTTTACAAATTTAACCATATGTTATAGCATGATCGTGAGATCATCCAATCAAAATCGGGCTTGTTAAGTCAGAAGATATGGTTAAAATACTATACTTCGATATTAGTACACAGAGAAGACCTTGACCTAGAAGCTCTTCTGATTAATCCTTCTTTAATCTTCTGCGATGAATATCAAGTATTCCAGTTTCCATATGATCAGTTATTTACACGTGTTTATATTCTATATACATTAAACATTTTATTGTACTGCTCTTGATTTTTTCGTTGTCAAATTTTTTAAAATCAATAAAAAGACTTGCAGTCTCACACTGATGTCATCGGAAAATTCAACATCTAAAGGGCCACACAAATACTAAACGTATAAGTTCAAAAGTATCCTACACAGAATTTCAGTTACATTGCCGTGTGCTATGACAGTACATGCCGTGTGCTATGACAGTACATTGCCGTGTGCTATGACAGTACATGCCGTGTGCTATGACAGTACATTGCCGTGTGCTATGACAGTACATTGCCGTGTGCTATGACAGTACATTGCCGTGTGCTATGACAGTACATTGCCGTGTGCTATGACAGTACATGCCGTGTGCTATGACAGTACATCCCGTGTGCTATGACAGTACATTGCCGTGTGCTATGACAGTACATGCCGTGTGCTATGACAGTACATGCCGTGTGCTATGACAGTAGATTTCAAATTAAAAAATTTTCGTTATAGTATTTTTCTTTTAATTTCCAAATATGTTTTGGAAAGTATGAATAAAACTTAATATATTTAAGAATTGTAATAAAAACAACAATACTTTTTTTATATACACATTTAGAATTGTGGTACAATTTGAAATTCGGTGTTTATACAAATAAATATACCGAGTAAAAGGAAATTTAACTGCGATTATAGTTGTTTCGTGTATTTGTATCGAAAAAGAACATTTAAAGTAGAAGATTTATATAATCGTTTAACATAGGAAAGATTTAAGAAGAACACTGGATATTAATTATTCTATAGTTTTCAGGTTTAGCTTGAACACAAACATTTATTTTTAATATACTTAAGTAAATAATTATGCATGGAA